TCTTCCAAGAAGTCTTCCATCCACATTTCTCAGTGCCCATCTGACACATAAATCCTGGCGACATGACCTTCTAAGATAATTGTATAAATTATTATGCTTGTTGGCATGAAAACCCAACCTCGCTGCTGGCGCCATCGAGTATTGCAAGCACATCAGTCATCAGCATGACAACGCGCCACACGCGTATGGAAACGTCGTGTTTTGAGGCTAAAGTATTGTCCAGGGAGCAGCCAAAACTTCGTACAGCAAAACAAATGCTCGGGCTTCAATATTATGACACAAAACAGAGAATATAAACGTACTTTAATCACCGAGCATTTTATTTGTTTATAATACTGAATTGTTATTGTTTAGTCTTGAACTAAGCACAAAGGGTATAAGAAAACATTAAACCTAAACCAAAATAATATCATCAAACTAATAAGTGAGGTTCATGAAACTTTATGGAAATTATAAAGAAAATAGTATCATCAAACTAATAAGTGACGTTCATGAAACTTTATGGAAATTATAAATTCCAGAAATGTCTTTCATTAAACTGTACAAAAATTGGCTTCAACGCACAAAATAATAGCCCCACTGCCCTTAGTCCTGTAAGGGTGTGGTATATTTTTTCGAGGTAAATTCTTAGTCGCCATGAAGAGTCTCGGTACTTCACAGAGAACGCGCGCCGAACATTGTTTGGAAAACCTCCACTTGAATGACATAGAATTAGATGGAATGATAACATTAAGATGTACCTTAGACAGGCAGGTTGCGAGTGTCGGAATGCTGCACAGTGGCGAGCTATGAGACTATCAGCGGTGCTACAACTTGAGGATTATTAATTATTATAACCTTGTTAATGTCGTAATTCTCTGTCGATTAACTAAAGCAGTACTTCACATGGCAACTAGAATTGATCCATTATGGTTTTACGTGTGGCAAGTATCACTTGAAGCAGCTTTACGAATCAAAATCCATTAGTCCATCAGCTGCAAATGCCTTCATTTGTTTCAAGTGTCTCTGTACAATGCCACTTGTTGAATTTATTCGACTGTTTTGTGTGGTCCTCGATTCATGGATTTTCGGACTTTGCCCATCGTCCGACGTTATAAAACCATACAAAGTTTCGAGGAATCGATCTGTGAGGGGCAAGGACACTTACTCTGTTGGGCCCCATCGAATGAGTTGATCTCAATCAATGGACAACCTACGTCAAAATAACTGCAAATGTCAGCGGAATACAAAAATATAAGATTAAAAAAAATAAAAATAAGAAGGCATATTAATGTCAAGACTAAGGCAAACTTGGAAATGGAATTTAAAATGCATCAAACGAAATCTAAAACCACCCAATCACAATTACTGGTACGACAGTTTGGCTCTGTTTGAATGTGAAATACAAGACTCCTCACTTCACGTAACAGCAACCCTGCGGGAACCTTTTTGCCACTGACAGGCGTATTCCTTGGTAAGCCACGTTTTCCTGTTTTCAGCAACATTAAGAATCCAGCGCCTGCTTTGTTCCTTGCACGAGGATTAAAACTTTTCCACTGCCATCTTCTGTTTCTCGATTTATACTGACAGAGCAGCTACGAGGTCCAGTTTCAGTCATTCTTCGGTAATGTTCTGACAATTTCGATTGATATTTTTTATTATAATACTGCTGTTATTCTCGCCAATGTTGGCAGCCCTGTATTTTCTATACGATCCGCTGTGTTAGATGCCCCATCAGATGTCAATACTTTTTACTCAGTCTACACAGCGCTGTACTCCATAAACCCAGTTGTCACGTGATGTTTCGACTGAGTGCTTTAGTTTATAACTATCGGCCTGTTTCGATTTTAAATAATTTTTCCAAAATTTTTGAAAGTATTGTTCATGATCATCTTTCATTTTATTTTAAATTTAAGTTATACCCGAGTCAGCATGGTTTTTGTAAATCAAAATCTACGGTAACCAATTTAGTTACCTTCCTTAATGATGTTCAGCCATCTGTTTGTTCACAGGGACAGATCGACTCTGTGTATTTTGATCTTAGGCAGGCCTTTGATTCGGTAAAACGCTTTGCTGATATTTAAGGATTTTGTTCCCTAAATCAAATACAGAAACTGGCTGATTTCGCTGATTAGTGGCGATATTTGACATTTGCGAGTCCTAGTTTACATAACAAGTCATTAAACCATAAAT